TTGCAGGTGGATACGTTCAGAATTGATGCAGTAGATATCGGTCTTTTGCAAGCATTGGATGTGGAGAAAGGGAAAGGCCCTGACTGGCATCTGGAGAAGATTACTGTGAGACAGGCATCAATGGAAGGAAAAGAAATAGTGTTTCTAGCTCATAAATGGCTCAAAAGTGGAACAAACTCAGCAGTTACATTGAACGTTACAGGTGACTTAAAAATAATTTACTGAAGAAAATAATTCTTGTGAATGAATACTAATAATTTTGTTGAATTTGTTTTGGAAAGGCAATGATATAAGCAAATATTTTTGTTTATGTTAAAGAACATTTGAAGTTTCCATTTTATGGAAAATGTCAGTGTGTTGTTTAGACTCAGCACAATGAATATGAGTGGAGTCAGCAAAGTTGGCTTTTATTTCCAGTTCTGGAGTTTATTTACTAGATGAGCATGAAATTAAATAATCCCCAAAACACACTTAAAATTTTTCAGCCTTAACTTCCTTATCTAAGCAATAGGAAACCTATATAAGACTTGCCCTCACTCCAACCTCAAGAGATGGATTATGGAGCTTAATTGGATGATATATGGAAAGAATTTTGAATTTTTCAAGGAAACACATTTTAAAATATCATGTGCAGGACACATATATCATTTCTGTTTGTCATCATATTTACTTAGCAGTTGCAGTGAGAAATGAAGACATCTATGGATATTTATTAGATATATTTAGTAATTCAATATTATTACTTTAGTTTTCTTCCCAAATCATTGCCATGCCATTAAATCTCACACACATATGAGAGTATTTTAATTGTGTCATATTCTTTATTTAAGTGTACACCCAACTGGGGACAAGATTTAGATCGTTAAATGTTTCTCCCTCAATTCTATAGTTATAGTTTTATAGATTGTTAGTGCAAAAAGGTACCATAGAGATCAAATACAACTCTCTCGTTTTACACATCACCAGTTCTGCTCTTTTTTTTCTACTTCTCTACTCATCCTGAGAATGATAGTTTTATCTGATAGGATTTCAAAGACATTTGTATTATTTCCTTATTTCTGATGGCCTAGCCTTATTTTATTGGCATATTTTAAAAGAGTAAATAACAATGTCACTTATTGCTAGAAAATTAAGTTGTGATCTTTATACTATTAAAAAAATTATTTTTGAAAGTGGCTTAAGAAATACTTCTGATATGAAAGTTATTATGTACCCTAGAAAAAAAAATATGTTTTGTGAACTTCTGAAACACAAAGAGCTTTAATTGACTTTAGCATGAAATCACAGAGGAAAGAGTTATATTTTATTTTATACAATTATATCTTGTTATGACTTAAGTAATTAGTTTGGCATTAAAAATATCTGATTAATTCAGACACATCCAAACCAGTGATCATAGTAATTATGTAAATGAAGCATAAATAATTAAAAATGAAAAATAGTTGAGTGTCTAGATTCAAAGCTTTTGAAAATATTGTGTCTGTTCTAGACCAAGCTCATTATGTGAACAGTGTCTAGGAGGGTAAGCTTAAGTAGAAAAATCACATTGTAGATTTCATGATTTAATCTTAATCTAAATAATGCTCCATTGCTTAACCACAAATGAATTACAGATGCTCATTATCATTTAGACACTGTTTTGTGAAAACATTAATTTTGACTTCAATCTCCTTTTCAATTAGAAATTGAGGAAATTGGGCACATGAATGTCTTGCCACCAGGAGGCCAACAAATGAAGTCAGGTAATCCTTATTCCACTGCAGTTAATCTAAATACAATCTTTTGGGAGCTACTTCATATCAAACTGCTTAATTTCTTTTGTTAGTACTGTATGCATATAGCTAGATTTCAGCTAGTCAATCATCATATGGTAACATTTAGAGTTGGAAAAAAAATATGGAAATCACCTGGCCTATCCTCATTGTTTTTATGCCTGAGGAAACTGAGTTCCAGAGAAATCAAGGGACTCATGTCAGACCACACCCACATAAGTACTAGGTGGCAGGCTGAGTAAGGATTCTTAACAGTTTCTCCATCTCCTTCTCCTGTGCTTTTTCCTCTACCACAGCAGTTTTCAAAGAGTGGGACTTACTACCCTAGTATCCCTGATATGCTTTCACGGATACTGTGAGGTCAAAACTATTTTCATAATATGACTAAAACATTATTTGTCTATTAAAATTCTAAATACCTTTTCTAACTATATATCACTATGTGGCCAGTTTTTTTTCATATGCTTCAACCAAAACAACATATCATAACAAAATGAATACAGACAAAGGTATGATAATCCAGCTGTCTTCTATTAAACCCTACATTAAAGATTTTCAAAACAGCTAATTTTTTTACTCTTCCCCCATTTTTTGTTTTTGAAAAATATACTTATTTCTCATAAAATATATTTATGTTAACATATAATGGATTTTTGTTATTTGCAAATAATTAAATGTTTAAAATTTTTTTCTTTTTTAACTTCAAAATAATAAATATTGATAGATATAAGCAGGAGGTAAATATTAAACTGGCTCCCCAGAAAAATATACATGCAACATATGTATAAGTTTATTTGGCATCATTAACATTTACTCCATCACTTTCTTAACTTTGGACACTAAGCAAAACAATAAATCAAATGCTCATTTGTAACATTGGCCAATTTCCAAGATATACATGCTCATGCTGAAAATGTAACAATTGGTTCTCATGAGCCAGATCAAGCTGGCTCCAGCATACCCCTGAATGCACATAAACAAAAGCTTTTAGGGGTACTCAATTTTTAAAGGGTATAAATGGTTCTGAAATAAAAATATTAGAGATTTGCTGCACTATGATATTGCTCAGAAACTGAAATATGGTTTCAATGAATATTAGCTAAGCTGAGAACATTGTCTAAATCATTTGACCCTATGATCTTATAATTAATGAAGGCTGAGGGAGTGAAATAAAGTAAAAATTCAGTTACCTTTTATGAATTTTGCCTGGGCTATCAGTTTTATATGAAAATCACATTCTTCTATAAAATTTAACCTTAATTTATTCATATTTAATTTGGTCAGAAGGCACATGGAAAATTTATCTGAAGCTTCGAGGAAAATCAGGTCAAGAATGTGAACATATTGGGCCAAATATTCCTCATTTGATTATGATTCTGTATGGGACTTACGGAAAGTCAAGCTCAATGCTTCTAGAAAACAGGCTGGAACATGCTGAGGATACAGTAACTTTTGAGGTAAAACAGAACGTAAACTTTGCCTTTCACCATTCTTTTTTTAATTTTTAGATTGCTCAGTTTAGATATTGACCTGTAGCATATTAAATAAATCATTATAGTTTTAACCAAGTAGCAATCATACAGTATCCACTATTTATACTTGTTATTTTGTAGGTAGTATATCAGAAATGATTTTTTTCATCTATGTGATAAAACTATGAATAGACTCTTGCAAAAGTAATTAATTCAAAGAAATATAACTTGTTCCAACATTACTAATTTTAGTTTATTATTTAATTTTAGGCATTTAAGTGAATTTCATGTGCTTCAACATACAAAAGACCCTTGAATATATATTTCATAGAAATCAGTGTCCTGTTTGGTACTAACTTGTTCCATTGCCTCCTAGGTATTCATGCCCTCTGATTTGGGAACTCTTTATAAAGTACGGTTGGGTTTGGAGAGTTTGCATTCCAGCACATCACAGCTGTCTGTTCATCATTTTAAAATGCAGAATAAAGCAACCTTGGATACCTTTAGTTGTTCTATAAATAAGACACTTCCTCTTTCTTTTAATGGAGACAGATGCATTGAGTTCCCTGTCGAGTGGCCATTAAAGGAAGCACTGTCTGGTAGGTATATATCTATCTATACTGAAGATGATAAATGATCCTAAAGGCTAATGGCTCCTAATATCACAATCAGGTTTTGCTTTTTTTTAAGTAGTACACTTTACTATCTTTTAAAAAGTGACTTAATGAAACACTACATTTATAATAACTAGACTTGGCCCCAAAGAAGAGATGAGCAAATGTACCTTCCTCCCTTTTATTTTTTGGAGAAACAGGGTTGGAGTGGTCTGTGGGTATAGAATATTGCATAGGGAGTCAGATTTGGTTATAGATTTGTTAGCTTTACTGAACTGTTTGGTTTTTTTTCTCCCCCTTTTTCAGAAATGAAGGTAATATAAAAACAAAAAAATTAAATATTAAAAGTGTTAAAATTCCTTTTAGAGTGATTTAAATCAGACTAAGAATTTCAGATAGATTGACAGCATACTAGTATTAACTTTCTTTCTACTCTGGAGATTAAGACTCTTTGTGAATGAAAGTTTTATGTTCTCCATCCTCCAATGATCCCTTATACTACAGTTACATTCTGTCAGATGACACAAGTGACTTTTATGTTTTTGGGCCTAAGGTCCAACCCTCTGGATGCCCCTTCTTGTAGTCAGATATTGTAAAAATTGCTAAACAATCTACAAGAAAGTAGTTTGATACTAGACTAAAGGAAGCCTGAAACCACAAATGCCTGTGAGAATTTCATTCTGTGTCCAAGATTTCTCACAGCAAGTGGTACAGGCAGAGTTCAAAGCGAGCTCCTTCAATGTTCTGTTGAGCAGACGCTGAAGTGTGAAAGAGTCCTGTTTCTCTGTCAGGGTTGGTTCATTCCTCCACTCCCCTACCGGCTCCTGATCCAAATTGATTTTGTGCTTCCTGTTTTTCTTCACTTGACAAAAAAAAAAGTGCGAGTAACATGTTGTCTGTGGAAGGCTGCCAAAAAAGCAGTGTCCTTCAAAAAAAATCACCCACTTGATATTTCCAAATATAGTTCAAAAATGCTATTGCATTATGCTAGTAATATGCTAGGTCATTAAGGTCCATTTGTTTGTCTATTGAATACTTAAGGAGTGTGTTCTGGTAGGATATTTGGGTGCTAGGATTATTGACTGATCTTCAGTGTGTACTTAAGTGAGCAGCTGAAATACATACCTTGATACGTGTTACTGTGTTTTATCATTTATCTACTGCACTAGATTCGGTGCTATGGAGTTCCTTTTAGAATATCACTTTTCTGGGAGAATAGGAAAAAAATAGAACTCCTTTTTCTATGTGTCCTCCATGGGTCGTATGTAGTGCTGGCCATCTATATCTATATTGGGGATGGGAAGGGAAGGCAAAGAAGCATTTGTAAAGTGCCTACTATGTGCCAGGTACTATGCTAAACACTTTTTAGAAACATGATATCATTTGATCCTCACAACAATCCTGGGAGGTTGGTGCTATTATTACCCCTGTTTTACAGTTAATAAAACTAAAGCAGAGGTTGAATGACTTGCGAGGTTCATACAACTAGTAAGTGTCTGCGGCTACATTTGAACCCAGCACTTCCTGACCTCAGACCCAGCACACTATCAACTGTGCCATGAGCTGCCTCTATGCATCTGTATCATTATCTATATCTATAGCTATGTTGTTATCATCTATATCTAAAACTTATATATATGTATATATATACACATATACACACATTTATATCTATATCTTTCTGTCTCTCTATCATAAGTACTTTCTCCATACTTGTTGAATGATTGACTCAGAGTTTCACCATTGTCTTTATAATTAGATCTACTGAACAGCGAACAAATAGCTAAAATATTTCATTCTTTTCCCTTTTAATTTATCCTCTCTCTAATTCTGTAACAAGAGTGACAAGAAATAGTAATGTAACTATCACAATGGTTCCTCCATTGCAGATAGAACTCAAAGGCACAACTATCACCATGAACAGTGTGTTCAGCACACAGTAGGTGCTCATTACATGTTGGCAAACTATTAAAATCCCCACAGAAAACATGGAAATCAATCCAGGATTATCTCCCTCCCACAAATTCAGAGTAAAATAACTTCAGGAAGTTATTTTCAGGAACTACCAGAAAGACTTTTCTTTTAAATATTCAGGACTCATAATTGTATTGATTTAGAAAGTAGATTTCTTAACTCTGACACTCTTTCTAGCTATAGAGATACTTCTAAATGTTGCTTCTTCAGCAGAATACTTCATAACATAGCTTTCTCCTAATTCTCCATTCACACAGTATTATGGATTAGGTTTCTTTCACATAAGAGAAAGGAATATTGTAGTTCTTCATGTAGTCAACTGTGACTAATATTTTTTTTCTGCTGTCATTTTTTAATGCTACACTCTGAGTTTCAACAGATCTGTCTTTGGTCCTTTATTTTTTTTTCCTTCTCTAAGACTTTTTTTTTCCTTTCCAGATCTCTTCCCATATTTTTTTCCTTCTCTCTTAACAGCCCTCAAGTCCTTTAAAATGCTATGCTATATCATCTAAAATATCCTAAAAATATTGTTCCAAGAAGGGACTTGGGAACAAGATTGTCCCCATTTTCTAAAGAGCATTCAGGACCTTTTTTTAAGCAAGTGGCTCATATAGTCCTAGGCTGATGGAAGCAGATTCAATAACATGGAAATAATCTTTCAAGTAGAGGCATCAAGGTAACAGAGAGTAGCAAAAGAGGGAAATATTTAATGAAGCCTAGTAAGCATGTAGAATTGGTCAGGAGAAGAGTTTCTAGCTTAATACAATCATGCAAATCCATCAAAAATGATTCCCATAAATTGAGGCTATAACCCTAAAGATAGAAATATGAACATTACTCCAAAGAAAATGGAATTAAAAGATCTCTGTTGGTGTTAGTTGTGGCTCTGCCTACCAGAAAAACAAGTCACACATCCTGAAAAGAGGCTGGGGCAGTGGGGTCAGGAAGAGACAGAGGAGACAGGGAGAGTGAGGAGTAAATCTCATCTGACATCCTCTGGCCACCAGGGGAGTGAGAGATGAGATAAAGAAGAGAGCATGTCCTATGGACAACTTTCTTGTCTTCTTTCCAATCCTTGTTAAGTCAAATTGTATATCATTTCTTTCTTTCTCACTAAATTCTCTGTGGCCTCCTCCTCAGCTTTTCTGTCTAAAGCAAATAACAACAAAGCAAATTCAACCTTCTGTGGTTGAACTTTTATTTTTTGTCAAATGTGATGGTCACTGAGGGGGAGGGGGGTTGGACCATTTTCCTATTGTAATAAAGGTTGTCTGCCTTTTGTGCCTAGGAAAGCTCTCCTCAATCCAGTCACATGAACTATTTTTCTCCCTTTTCTAAGACTTATTTTATTGACTTAAGTAGATGGATAGGGAAGGAAGACATTATACTTCCCTAACCACATCCCTTCCAAATACCCATAAGATAAAGAGGTACCAATTGGTGATCCATTAGGAGCCTCTTAGTATATTGTGCATATCTTTCTTTCTATTCAAAATAAATCTCTTTTCTGTCTTCTAGATATTTTTTCTTCTGTTAAGCCACTGAGTCTCACCTCTATGTCTTTTGGACTTTTTTTTCTTTTTCTTCTATCATTTCCTTTCCTCAAAATCACCCTTTCCTCTAAAATAATCAAGGCACTGAGATTTTGAAAGTTCTAAAATCTCTTCACGTTGCTTATTTTCAGCTATTGGCCTGCTCAGATTATGATGTGATAAAACAATATGAAATATCAGCCTGAACATTCCAAGAGTCCACTGAATTTATGACTAGAGTTAAAATCCACAAAATTCCCAGAAGTTATGAGCTTGTATACCAGTTACTGTATTGTGTGACCTAAAGTTAGTCTTTTCTTAGAAGGAAAAAAAAAAGGTTCCCCAAAGCCTGAAGAATCAAAATATGTTTTATTCAATGCAAAACAATTATATAACATTTATAGTGAAATCTGTTATGCTTTGAACACTGGCTGAAAAGTATGAACATTGTTACATTATAGGCCTTTAAAATAAAAATATATTGGTTTGTTGATATATTGCTGTTGTGTTAGTATCATTGCTAAGCATTTCATAGGTATTGAGGAATTAAAATTGCAGCAAAGCCTGGGAGCATAAACTGATTTCATTCCATTGTCATATTTGGATGTGTTTGCCCATTCATTATGGTGCACCTTGCCTCAAGAAAAAAAAATCTACCATTATATTTTAACAGGATGTTTGTAAAAGGTATATTTATAGCAATAACCATACTGTTTTCTTCTTGTCACCTGGCAGTTGTTAGATATCAGGTGACAGTCTTCTCGAGCAATTTTTTCCACTTGAAGAGTTTAGTTCAAGTCAGTATCTGCATCTTTGGAAACAATGGAGACACAGGAGATCGGGCTCTGCTTCTCCCTATTGAGGATTCACAACAGCAGAAAGATGACAAAGAGGTAGCTTACATTTATTTTATCCTCACTAAAAAGTATTCTGAAAGAGTTCTCTTGTTTCCTCATTTGTAAAAGTTTCCGAATTTTAACTTATATTAGTTGATCACTTATGATTTTTGTGTATGTATCTAGTCTTTTGTCCTGGAGGCTGTTGATCTGGGAGAACTACAGTATGCCAACCTCTCCATCAGCAGTTTAACAAGTAAGTTTTGTTTTTGCCTTTCTCATAGGGGCCATCAAAGCAGGAGACCAGAAATGCAAATATGTTTTTGAATGCATTATGAGGAGCAAAAGAAAACCCCACTCAGACCTTCTTTTCGGGGCACAGGGAGAGTTTTTACTTAAAGGAAGCAATTATCCAACATACATGGAATGATTGTATCATGTAATTCCTATGACTACTTGGCCCCAAAGACGTACCCTCAATCTGAACAGTGGTTAGTCAAGGAAGGGTATCTTCCCACCAAGTAGCTCTATTTCTACGGGGGGAAAAGTATATTAAAGGTAAGGCGGCTACGTCTTCCAATTATTTGGCCATTTCAGAACAAGAATAGAGAACTCCAGCATGTGCTGGTTTTTCTTCCTTATCATTTGAAAATGGTCCGTGTAGAGAGGAGAATTTTGAAGAGCAGTTGGATCTATAACATCCCACTTTCTCTTCAGAACTAAAGGGTGCATAGCTAGCAACTTTCTGAGCAAGTCTGTTTTTGGAATGCCTATAGAAGGCCAGCTATTGGTGAACTTTAGGGAATGTAATCCTGTCCTCCTCTTCCTCCCAGAAGATAATAAAGAAAATGAAAATCAGGTGACTAGGTACTTCTCATTTTAGTGATGCTTCTAGTTAGTATATGGAATTAAGTTATTAGGTAGGTTGAAATCAAAGTTCTGAGTCCTTAAATGTATCCATTAAAACTAGAAGCAGTCATCATGACATTGTTATAAATTTTAGCTAAAATGTATACACCTCGAGGCTTACAGAAAAAAAATTGAGGGAGCCATAAGGTTGTCAAGATTACTGACAATCAGATCCTTGTGTTGCATTTTGATTGCCCGAGAACACTACATGACAACCACTTAAGGATAAAATTCAAAGAAGGATCTAGGATGTGCTGTTGAAGTGTGTTTTGTGTTCTTTCTCCTTATAGGTTGCGAGTTAGATGTGAAAATATTACATCTGATGGAGGCATTAAAGAGACAGCCCATTTATGTATTTGAAGTGAATCAGTAAGTTTGACTCGTAAAATTAATGGTGGCAATGTGATGATATAGAGGCCATTTGTTGTTTCGGATATTGGGAAGAAGACATTTTGCAAATTTGTAAATTTCTTATTTTTTTCCTCTACGTTTCAAGGAAATAAGCTGATATAAGCAAGGCCAGACTGTCTCCACAAAGCAGGCCAGACTGATTCCCATGATGCAAAGCCATGAGAAAGAGTTAATGTGGGGGATGGGGCTGTGATAGACCACTGCTGCTATCTCTCAATCTCCTGTAAAAGGGCAGAAAATGCAAGTTCCTATGTAATCAATAAGGCAAATGGCTAATTGCTCTCAGGGGAACTCTGATTTTTGTCTTAGGGGCATGAGAGATATAAATTATAGCTGCTTTATAAAGGGGAAAAAAACAAACCCCCCTTCCCCAGACCATGCCAGAACTATTCAGGGCCTGTTTTGGTTTTGTTCTCATGGCCCCAATGCATAGCACAGTGCCTGCACATGGTAAATGCCTAATAAATGACAGTTGGTTGATTGAGTGATGAATGCTATGTCCTTAGCACAGAGCCTTGACAACAAAGCAGGTTAAGAACCTATAGCAAGAAAAATGAATTGAATGAATGAATGAATGAATGGAGACACCATCAGTTTTGTTTTGTTTTGTTTTGTTTTCTTTTGGTTTTTGTTTTGGTTTTTTTTTGTAGCATCAGAGGAGGGCAGAGTGTCAGATATTGTTTGTGGCAAGAGGAACTAAATAATTTTGCCATATAGCTTAAAGGAAGGGAAGGGCTTTTTGTTTTGTTTTTTCAGTTCTGTCTCCCCCGTCTGACTGTGAGCTTCTGGAGGGCAAGGACTCTTTGCTTTTCTTTGTAACTCCAGCACTTTGCACAGTGCCCGACATGTAATAAATAGGCCCTTAGTAAGTGCTTGTTGGCTTAACTGCCAACTCATCTCTAAATCTAAGTATGAACTTGACAGATTGAAAAATCAGCCCATGATTATTTCCATGTGGACCACGTAGAGTTCTGGCTATACTAGATTAATATAACAAAGAGACGTTAGGAAAATTAATTTCTATCTTTAACTGACAATCAGCATCTCCTTGTGAACTAAGGGAAAATAAAACCCAAAGGAATAGAAAATACTCTCATTCACTTGTTTTCTGTCTTTATGTGTGAGTGGGAAATTCTGACATATCACCTTTCACCCTATCATTCCTCTCTTCTGGGAATACAAGGCCCCAAACTCTTTTTTTCACCCTTCTAGTTAGTTCCCTTAGGGTAGACGTTCTTTCCATCCCATGATCAAGGACAGCGTCAGCTCCATGGGATAACTACTTAATCAGCTACCAGCAGAGGAGGAATTTGGGGACCCTTTGGAAAGGACAAAAAATATCCAATGGATGTATGAGCACCACTATAGAATGTTTAAGAAAGCTGCCATTTGTGCATGGTGACTGGCAGAGTTATAAAGAAACAGAAGAGGGGTTTGCCTGTCTGCTACTGAAGAAAAAAAAGGTAAGAGCAGCTACACTTAGAACAAGGATAAGCAAAGGAGATCTAGGCTAGAGCCCACAATATCCTGAGAGCGCTGAGGGAGCAAATTTTAAAATACCTCAAAGGTAGGAGGATACCAAATGCATGGAAAATTCAAAAGTTTTTACTTACAAAAAAGTTGTCAGTTCAAAAAATTAAATACCACCAACCTTTATAACCACCTTACACTAACCCAAACATCTTCATGCGAATAATTTACACACATATCAATCAACAATTAAAAAATAAATGCTCTACAAAAGACATTTTAAAGTCACACAAATGATTTAAAGGTTCAGATCCCACTATACCTATTGCCTATTGACTATAAAAAAGTATTTTATTTGATAGAACAAAATGCTTAATTGAAGCATTTTCTTCAATTTTGAAGCTTCAAACTTTGAAGCAATCTCTTATAACAGTGCCTACAATATATGCTAAAATCATATTAGATTCCTTGAAAGATGAAACAACAAAAGTAATTTTGGCCCACAGTTATGGCATTATAAATATCATGTGAGTCATAAGACCAATGTGTTTGTTCTTCTTAAAAAGGATAACCAGCTTAGAGTTCAAATGGAAAAAGGATTCCCTATAAAAGGTATCATAGATATTCTTGTTCACAGATGACATTGTGTTGATTGCATCAAGCCTCAGAACTATCACAAGACCTCATAAATGACATTTATAATCATTCAAGAGTTTGACCTAACTACTCAGTTGAGGGGAAAAATAACAAATGGTTAAAGAATGCTTATTGCTCAGAATATGGTATGAAATTTGATGACTAGTCAATCAAATATGTACATATATGTATATACTTCTGTGTATGTGTTTATGTATGTGTCTATGTGTGTACATATAAACATATGTGTATATATTCATGTAGTTATATGTATGTGTACATGTGTATGTATACGTATATAAACTACAGATGGACCATGAGTTGTGCCTGCAATTGCCTAGGAACAAACATGAGGACAGTGGTCTAGATTGCATTTGGAAAATGTTGCAGTGCTTTATAAGACCCCAAGCTTCTCCCTGAAACAAAAGCTCTTCTTAACTCCAATATTCTTCCATTGATGCTATATAGCTATGAAACAAAGAATACAGCAATCTCCAAAAAATTAAAATTTCAGGTCACCTAAAGGGTGATGGAGGGATAAACACGGGCATGAGTAAAATGTAGCAAGTTGTCAACAACAATGATAAAACAACAGCGATAAAAAACAATAAACTTTAGTGGAGAAATGACACAAGTGATATTATCAAAAATATGTATGCCAAAAGAGAAGGTAAAGCAGTCACATATCAAGAAAGAAAGAGTATTAATGGAGAGACCATGCTCTCCATTGGTGTCTATGCAATGTTAAGAGATATAGAAGACAGACTCAGAATAGATACTGGTGGGATTTCAGTAGGTTACTTAGAGAAGGATATGGAAAAAAGTAACATCGGATAGGAATGTATGGCTGGGTCATAATGTGAACCACTGAAAGCAAGACCCACAAGTATAAGATGACAACTCCAAATAAAGCTTAAGTATTGTTGTTGAGTTGTTTCAGTCATGTCCAACTCTTTGTGACCCCATTTAGGGCAAAGATACTGAAGTGGTTTTTCATTTCCTTCCCCAGTTCATTTTATAGATGAGGAAACTGAGGCAAACAAGGTTAAGTGACTTGCCTTGGAACTTACAGCTTGTATGTGTCTGAGGCCAGATTTGAACTCAGTCTTCCTGACTCCAGGCCTGACACTCTATCCACTATGCCACTTAACTGACCTAATTGAATTAAGTACAGAAGATGGAAACAAAGCTAGGTATCACAAGATAAATGCAATAACAACGCATAATCCTGTAGTAATGATGATAATTGGAGATAACTAGCATTAATTTAAGGTTTTTGAGAGCTTTACAAATGGTATCTCAATTTATTCTCACCACAAACCTGGAAGGTAGGTGCTATCATTATCCCTGTTTAACAAGGAAACTGAGGCAGGCAAAGCTTGAGTGACTTGTCTAGGCTTACATAGCTACTGAGTGCCGAGGTTTGATTTGAATTTACATCTTCCAGATCTGGTACTCTGCGCACAGCACCACTTGGCTGCCTGTAAGACAAAATATCAAGCGATAAAATTCGAAGTAGGCAGAGTTTGGAGACGAAAGCTAAATATAACAAAACAGGATGTGGGAGGAGCAAATATTGGGCAAAAAAGAGGTACAGCAGTACAACTGCTTCAGGATGGGAGAGCATATAGGATAATAAGTAATGGATGATAGAGGAAGAACTGCTCAAATCATCCTTTGCTTCTGTATTTGGACTTGAAAAGATAGAACAAAAAATGGCTCGTTGAGAACACTTAAGATTGGAAAGGTAGCACCTATTCACCTTTAAAAAAGTTTGTCACAGATGGACTCGATTTTCAGTTCCTGAAAGAACTTGTAGATGTTGTTGCTAAGTCACTGTCAGTGATCTCCAAAAGACTGTGGAGTATGAGAGAGATGATACAGGATTAAAGAAACACAGATGTCACAATTTATAAAAATATGAAGAATGGAATCAAAAAACCAGAAATTATTAAGCTTAACTTCAGCTCCTGGCAAAATTTTAGGATATTCTTCAAGGAATGTTTATTGAAGGTTGAGAAAAGGAAGCAGTCAAAAAGAGCCAGCATGTTTTCATCAAAAATAGGGCATGCCAGACCGACCTTATTCCAATTATTGACATGATTACAAGAAAAACAGATGAAATAAATGTTACAGATGTTGTAGATATAGGTATAAACATTTGACAAAATTCTCCACGCTATTCTAGTGGACAATATAGTGATAATATAAATTAGATGACAAGGTAACTAAGATTAAGAACCAGCTGATGGATGAGAATCAAAGAATAGTCACAATAATTAAATGCCAATTTGGAAGGAGATCCCTAGTAGCTCACCTCAGAGATAGGTCCTTATCTATCCCTATACATTTTCCCATTTTTATCAATGACTTGGAAAAATGCAGAGATGGTACAAAGCTAAGCAGAAGAGCTAATACAATAAACATTTATTAAGCACATGCTCTGTGTCAGGCACCATGCTAAATTCTGTGGATACAAATAAGAAAAATACAGATAATCCCTGCCCTCAAGGAATTCACAATCTAGTGAGAGAAGACAATAAAGAAAAGGAAGCTGAAAAGTGGAAAGTGAAAAGTGAGGGAAAATACTATATGGTACCTGGGATAGGAGCAGAAGAAAAAATGGTGGAATTGAAACCAAGCAGATCCACTATCTAGTAGCAAATGAAAAGGTGACTGAGATATTGAGCCCTCTATGAAGAGAAGCCATTGGAGGAGTTTTTTGCTCTGCCCTCCAATTCGAAATAAAAATATAAAAAGCAACTGAGAGTATTGATGAGTTGTGAGAAGCAAAGCTGAAGCAATCTCCATGATGATGAGTTTTCCTGGTGACCTTTTTATCTTGGGTGGAGCATGATGAAGATGATGATGGAGTTAAAACTAAGTAGAACAGCTGGTGGCAAATAAAGAGCTAAAATGTTGAACAGCAGAGACATAGTGTAAAAATATCTCAAGGGGAAAAGGATAAACTTATATACTACCTACTATGTGCCAGGGACCGTGCTAGGCTCTTTACAAATATTAACTCATTTGACCCTCACAACAACCCTGCAAGGTAAGTACTGTTATTATTCCCTTTTTATGGTTAGGGAAACTGTGGGATATGGAGGTTAAGTGACTTACTTATTCATGGTCACACAGCTAGCTGGATTTGAACTCAGGTCCTCCTGACTCTAGGGCCAGAGCTCTATTCATTGTGCCACCTCATTGCTTCAACAAGGTAGTATGTTGGGCCGAATCCAATAAATTGAAACTTTATTGGGATAAATGTAAAATGTTGGGTTAAAAGATCAACTTTTAAAGTACAAGATGGGAGAGGCATGGTTTCATGTAAGGAAAAAGTCCCTAATAATTAGAGTCATCATAAAGTAGAATAGGTTTACCATTGGAGGAGGGGTCATTGTGTCTCTTTTTATTAGGGATACTTCAAGCAAAGAAAGGCTGCATTGTTGCTCTTTGGGCAAATTGTAGAAGGGATTATTGTTAAAATAAGGGTTAGACTAGAAGGCCTGCAAGTTCCCTTAACCACGATCACAAGAGAACCTCTTTAGAATGGTAGGGTGGGAGAAGTTTCAGTGAAAGAAAAAAAAGAGGGCACAGAAACAGCAGGTGGTAAGTGGAGAAGGTGAACTGTGCCTATTCCCCAATTTGGTTTTTTCCAGGGCTGGTTCTGAGTACTAACTTCACCCAGTGAGAAACCCTGTGAGGTTACCATGTTACTTCAATATAAAAATTAAATAGGTTTTATGGCTCAGTTCTCTCTTGGAGAATTAGATGGTGATTCTAACATAATAGAAAGTCATGCTGTTCAGCCCCTCTGCCAGAGAAATCATATCAGTGCAGCATTGCAGGTGAGCTCCTTTCTCAAAATCCTGAACACTATCTGGTCAGATAAACCTCAGAAAGCAAAGTTCTGGACTTTTTTTTGGCTTAATCTACTATATTATCGAGATTTTTCAATGCTTCTCAGCTAAAGTACTCTATGTATCTTGTTGCTATATTTAATTTATTTGGCAGAAAGTTCATCATGGATGCTGATAAGCCTGAAATTCAGAAAAAAATCTCAGTCTCTTACATTATGGACAAAAGAGGAATTGAATCAACTGCTGAAATGACTCAGAATTTCCATGAAGAAAAAGGCTTCAAAGCTGATACGAGTATATATCAAATTAAAGTATATACAGGTGATTGTAAAGGAGCAGGCACTAATGGTGAGGTCCACATCACCCTCTTTGGAAATCAAAACACCTCTGAATCTTTTCTTCTCACTGAGTCATTGGAGCATGCAAATCCTTTTGAAATGGGAAAGGTGAGTTCTGAAGAGTTTATGTTCTATGAAATAAATCAGCCACACTCACTTCTGTAGTATCATTTTCTAATGCAAAAGACCTCAATAAAGTGAACAATATTTAGTACTGCTTCTTTTTTCACTTTTCCTCTTAGTAGAATGTAAACTTCTTATGGATAAAAACTTTCTTATTTTCTCATTGTGTCCTCATTACCCAAAACAGTGCATCACACACAGTAATTTTGTAAATTTTGTGAATTGATTTGCATTTAATTCAAAGCATTTTCTAAATGTTGATCTCATAATTTTATGTATTCTTTTAAATTAGAACACTGGCAATTTGTGTCTGCCACACAAAATTCCACTGAGCTTATCTTGCACAGCCTTAACAGCTTTGAATATATAGAATTAATCCTTATGAAATGACTTCTTTCTTTCCTAAGTCAGTGACACACCTGCATCAATACTCTTTTTCTTACTTTCAACTTCATGCTATCTTTTAAAGGGCCATTTATGCACCTCCATTGATATTCTGATCCAGGGTCTTATCATGTTATTGAGATGACTCCAGTTTCCTTGAAAACCATCTACTAAGTCATAGGGAGTCTGAAAGATGTCTCAGTCAAGAAGCATCCACAGCCTACTGTGGAAAGATACACAGAATCATAGACACTCCAAGTGCTGATGAATTTATATACTCTAGTACCTAGGTATTGGGTGAATTTGCATTACCTCACATTAGCCCAGAAGTTTATTTCTTTGTTCATCTTCTGTATATTATCCTCTTTCATATTATAAATTTTCATTTTATTTTATTTTATTTTTTATTTTTAGGCAACTGGGGTTAAATGACTTGCCCAGGATCACACATCTAGTAAGTGTCAAGTGTTTGGTCTGAGGCTGAATTTGAACTCAGATCCTCCTAACTGCTGGGCCAGTGCTCTATCCACTATGCCACCTAGCTGCCCCCATATTATAAACTTTTAAAGGGCATGGATTATATATAACAACCAGTAGAGGATAACATATGTCAAGTGAGATATTATGTGCAAAGTACTTTGCAAATTTTAGAGCATTATATAAATGCTAGCTATCATCATCATTATCATTGTAATCATCATCATTATCACCATCATCTAGATGATATGGTGGCTTGGAGGTAAGAAGACCTCAGTTCAAATCTAGCCTCATATACTTACTAGCACTGTGACCCTGAGCAACTCACTTAACCTCTGTCTGCCTCACTTTTCCCAAATGTAAAATAGGGATAATAATAGCACCTATATCCCAGGGTTGTCATGGTGATCAAATGGGATAATATTTATAAAGTGCTTACTGCAGTACCCGGCACATAGTAGGTGCTATACAAGTGGTAGTTATCATCATCATCAAGTATATTATTGTCTTTGGTACATATTTTGATTCTTACACAGTATATCTTTATCTCTAGCCCTCTTAGATTGTAGTAGATGCTGCTACTGCTCCTCTCTGCTTTCTCCTGGCCCTATACTTATATTGTTAATCAGGGACATCACTCTTCATGTCCTCTCTGACCCAAACTACTTCAGTTTATTTATTTTTAAACATTTTCTCAATTACTTGTAAAACAATTTTTATATATATTTTTAAATTTTGAGTTCCAAATTCTCTCCCTCCCTTTCTCTCCTCCCCCTCCCTGATATGGCAAGCAATTTTATTTAGGTTATACATGTACAGTCATGCAAAACATTTCCATATTAATCATGTTCAAAAAAAGAAAAGTAAAGAAAGTTTTAAAAAAAATATGCTTCATCTACATTGATTTCATCAGTTCTTTCTTTGGAATTAGATAGCATTTTTTCACCTTAAGTCCTTCAGAATTGTCTTGGATCATTGTATTGCTGAGAATAGCTAAGTTATTCATCATACAATATTGCTGTTATTGTATACAATGTTCTCCTGGTTCTGCTCACTCTACTTTGTATCAGTTCATATAAGTCAAACTACTTCAGTTTAAAGGAAAACACACATAAAAGGTAATACTCCCCATTAGTATTTAGGTCTTGCCCTGGTCACATAGATCCCTGGATGTCTAGATCTACATCTAGACTAGACCCTCTAAATACAGATGTAGATATATATGCCATATGTAGTATGGTCTAGGCCCTAAAGACTACACATTCACCTAGACTCTAGGGGAAAGAGTCATTGATTAGGAATAAGAGGACATAGGTTCAAATCTTGACTCTACCTTTTTCTACCAGTATGACCTCAAGCAGGTTGCTTAAACTCTGCCCTTTTTGTCAGCAGGCAGTGAGATGAAACTATTGGTTACTTTTCACATAATAAAGTATATGGCAGTGAAACTTGAACCTGGCAGGGTTTGCAACATAACCTTTCTATTAAAGTCAACGATTGTCATCTGAGAGCCACATACTATAAGAAATGAAACAGCCAGGACAGAAACAATGAAGTCCAAGAAACCAGCCATCAAAGAAGCATTAACACAATGTTGACTCCAATTTCTCTATGAGAATGGGATTGTGTATCCCCATTTATAAAATGAAGAGGCTAGATATCTAATTAGTAGAGTCCATAGAATTCAAGATCTAAAGTCAGGAAGCTCTGAGGTTGAATTCGGCCTGCCTCAGACACTTACTATCACTATAACCCTGAGCAAGTCATTTAAATTCCCTTAGCATTAGTTTCCTCATCTGTAAAATGGAGATAATAGTGCTTACCTACAATGGTTGTTGTGTGGATCAAATGACATTTTACACACACACATACACACACATATGACTTTGCAAACCTTGGAAGGGTTATGTAAATGCTAGGTATTATTTGTAGTAGCTAGGGGGGTGGGAGGAGAAGGAGGAGCATCAAAGATCTCTTCTAGCTCTCAGTTTATCATCCTGTGATATTGTTATTTATCTTCAGAATCCTCAGCTGACACAAACATGCAGCATAAGTTATCTATTAATATGTAAGAAGTGACCCTAGTTACTTTTGATTCTTGACTAAGCACCAAGCCCAAATCAACCACAAGTTGAGTTGAACGCCATCCCAAACAACCTGTTTCACTAGGCTAACAGGTTTATGGTTGACCTGCTTAGATGCTTGCACCCTTGCAACTATAATGACAATCCAAATCCTGGGATGCATTGGGGAAACAAGTTAAGAAAAAGTGCAGGAAATAATGAACATCCTTCTCTAACACCCTTAAAAAGGGCAAAAATACATTCAAGGTTTGTCACTAATGGTGCATTATGAAAATGGTCAGACAGTGAGAGGAAAGGAGGATGAGGCTAGGAACATGAGGTAACATTAAGGTAACAAGAACAAAATAAAGTGAGCAGCTGATTAGGGCTTCCCTTTGAATCATAGTCTCCTATTTGTCTTTCTGTATGGTAAGAGATATTTGGCAGAAATGTTATTAAGGGAAACTATGTTGTCTTCTCATATTTCAAAAGAATATCCTATATTTTAGACTCCAGACATAGAAAAAAGTTTCAAGCAGTAGGATGAAAGAATAAGAAATCATTATTCTCTTTTTATCATATTCCAGTTATAAGTCAGTCTGTGTATAGTAGATAACAATAATAAAAAGTACATTTCTTTGTATGCCTGACAATTTACATTGTATAGAGCTACCATATCTCTTATGTCCCCTATCCAAGGTTAAAAAGCATCAAGTAAGGACTGGAAGAGTACATTTTTTTCTATTTAAAGGAAATCATATAATCGACCTAGAACATATACTAAAGGCATTCATTAGTAACAATTATTCATCCTGTTATCCCCTTGGTATTTTTCTGCTAAATGTATTTGCTGTAGTATCAAACCTGAGCAAGCCAAACATTTTCATTTTCATGCTTTGATGTACTACATTTTAATCATTTCACCTCTTTTCCTTTAAAAAAAAAAAAGGTTGATACGTTCCAAATTAAAACAAAGAACTTAGGACGCCTGGATCGAATTGAAATTATGCATGATGGAAAAGGGCTCAGTAAGTACCTGCGTTTCATTATTTTAACCAGTTTGGAATTGCTGCCCTACAGGTCTGTCGGTGGTCTTTGTATTTGAAGATGTTCCCACTGACTGCATTGCTCTCTGAGCACAAGAGGATGACTGAAAAGACCAATGTGTAGCCCAGGCCTTTCCCCAGTGTGTGTGAAGGAAGACTGCCCTTTAGCTAACAGCTGTAGATACCCTTTGCCAAGCTTGTTGCTATTTTTGATTCTGGATCTTCCACAAAGATGGGGGGGGGGAAAGGATCTCATCACTGACTGCTAGGTATAAGGCAAGTCTGTGTCTTTCTCTATTGCCCCAAATTCCATAGATATTCTGCATTACCTAACAGTAGCTGTTAACACAAGCTTCTACTACTTATTTTGGTTTTTTTCCCCCTCAGTTTATAGCATATTATTTTTCCCAATTACATGTCAAGATGATTTTAGCACTCATTTTACAAGATTTTGAGTTCCAAATTTTTCTCCCTCCTTCCCTCTCCTCCCCTTCTGAAAAATGGAAGGTAATTTGATATAGGTTATACATGTGCTATCATGTAAAACATATTTCCATATTAGTCACAGTTGTAAAAGAAGAAATAGATCAAAAGGAAAAAAAAACATGAAAAACAATAAAGTGAAGAAACGGTGCTTTGATATGCATTCAAAGCCCATCAGTTCTTTATCTGGATATGGACAGCATTTTCCTTCATGAGTCCCTTGTACTTGTCTTGGATCATTGTGTTGCTGTGAAGAGCTGAGTAGTTCATAGTTGATTATCACGTAATGTTGCTGATACTGTGTACTAGTCTCCTGGTTTAGTTCATATAAATCTTCCCAGGTTTTTATGAAATCTTTCTGTTCATCATTTCTTATTGAACAGTAGTATTACATTACATTCATATACCATAGCTTGTTCAGCCATTCTCCAATTGATAGGCATCTCCTCAATTTCCAATATTTTGCCACTATGACAGCGGCTGCTATAAATGTTTTTGCACATGCAGGTTCTTTTCATTTTTTTATGATCCCTTAGGGATACAGACCTATTAGTGGTATTACTGGATCAAAGGATATGAACAGTTTGGTTGCCCTTTGGGCATAGTTCTAAATTGCTCTCTAGAATAGTTGGATCAGTTCACAACTCCACCAACAATGCATTGGTGTCAATTTTCCCACATCACCTCCAACATTTATCATTTTCCTTTTTCGTCATATTAGACAATCTGACGGGTGTGATGTGGTACCTCAAAGCTGTTTTAATTTGCATTTCTCTGATCAAAAGTGATTTAGAATATTTCTTCATATGTCTATAGATAGCTTTGATTTCTTCATCTGAAAACTGCCTATTCATATCCTTTGACTACTTACCAACTGAGGAATAGCTTGTATCCTCATAAGTTTGACTCAGTTCTCTATATGTTTTAGAAATGAGGCATTTATCAGAGACACTGGCTGTAAAAATTGTTTCCCAGCTTTCTGTTTCCCTTCTAATCTTGGTTGAATTGATTTCATTTGTGCAAAAGCTTTTTTATTTAATATACTCAAAATTATCTATTTTACATTTTGTAATACTCTTTATTTCTTGTTTGTTCATAAATTCTTCCCTTCTCCATAGATCTAAAAGGTAGATTATTCCTTGCTCTTCTATTTTGCTTATGGTGTCACCTCTTATGTCTAAAACATTTTGACCTTATTTTTGTATATCATGCAAGATGTTCTATACCTAGTTTATGCCTTATTGTTTCCCGGTTTTCCCAGAAGTTTTTGTAAAATAATGAGTTCTTTGGGTTTATCAGCACTAGGTTACTATGGTCATTTATTACTGTGTCTTGTGTACCTAATCTAACCCACTGATTTACCACTATTTCTTAGCCAGTACCAGATAGTTTAGGTGATTACTGCTTTATAATATAGTTTGAGATCTGGCATTGCTAGGCCACATTCCTTTGTATTTTTTTCATTAATTGCCTTGAAATTCTTAACCTTTTGTTCATCCAGATGAATTTTGTTGTTATTTTTTCTAGCTCTATAAAATAACTTTTGGTATTTTGATTGGCATGGCACTGGATAAGTAAATTAACTTAGGTAGAATTATCATTTTTATGATATTGGCTTGGCCTGTCCATGAACAATTGATATTTTCCCAATTGTTTAGATTTGACTTGATTTGTATGAAAAGTGTTTTCGATTGTGTTTGTATAGTTCCTGGGTTTGTCTTGGCACATAGCCTCCCAGGCATTTTATATTGTTTTTAGTTATTTTAAATGGAATTTCTCTTTCTATCTCTTGATGCTGGGCTTTGTTGGTCATATAAATACTTGCTGATGATTTATGTGGGTTTATGTTTTATACTGTAATTTTGCAAAAGTTGTTAATTGTTTTAAGTAGTTTTTTAACTTGATTTTCTAGGGTGTTCTGAGTATACTATCATATCATCTGCAAAGAGTCATAGTTTCCTTTCTTCATTGCCTATTCTAATTCCTTTGATTTCTTCTCTTATTGCTATAACTAACATTTTAGGTAATATATTGAATAATAGTGGTGATAATGGACATCCTTGCTTTATCCCTGATCTGATTTGGAAGGCTTCTAGCTTATTTCCTTTAGACATAATGCTTGTTGATGGTTTTAGATAGATACTACTTATAATTTTAAGGAATGCTCCCTTTATTCCTATGCTTTCTAGTGTATTTTTAGCACTACATTTTTAAAATTTATTTAGTATTTAATTTTCCCCAGTTACATGTAAAAATATTTTTAACATTTGTTTTAAAACCTTGAGTTCCAAATTCTCTCCCTTTCTCCCTTTCCACCCACCCTCAATTGAGAAGGCAAGCAATTCCATATATGTTATATATGTGTAGTCATGCAAAACATATCTATAATAATCATGTTGTGAAAGAAAACATCCTTTCACCCTGTCCCTCCTCAAAAGTGTTGTGCCTCTGATTACCGCTTCCCTTAATCTGTCCTCCCTTCTGTCACCATCCCCCTTCTCTTATCCTTTTCCCCTTCTATTTTCCTGTAAGGTAAGATAGATTTCTATACCCCATTGCCTGTGTATCTTATTTCCCAGTTACATGCAAAGACAATTTTTAACATTCATTTTTAAAACTTTTGAGTTCCAAATTCTCTCCCTTCATCCCTCCCCACTCACCCTCATTGAGAAAGCAAGCAATTTGATATAGGTTATACCTGTGTAGTCATGCAAAACACTTCCATAATAGTCATGTTGTGAAAGGCTATATTTCCCTCTGTCCTATCTTGCCCTCCCACCCCATTTATTCTCTTCTTTCACCCTGTCCCTCCTCAAAGTGTTTGCTTCTGATTAACCCTCTCTCCTGTCACACCCCTCTTATCCTCTTCACCCCTGCTTTCCTGTAGGGTAAGATAGATTTCCCTACCCAATTGAGTGTGTATCTTATTCCCTCTTTAAGCCAGTTCTGAAGAGAGTAAGGTTCGCTCATTCCCTCTCACCTCCCTCCTCTTCTCCTCCTCTGTAAAAACTTTTTCTTGCCTCTTTTATGTGAGATAATTTACCCCCTTCTACCTCTCCCTTTCTCCTTCTCCCAGTACATTACTTTCTCACCCCTTTTGTTTTTTAGATATCATCATTTCATATTAAACTCACCCTGTGCCCTCTGTCTACCTGTGCCCTCCCTCCAACTACCCTAACAATGAGAAAGGTCTCATGAGTTACAAATATCACCTTTCCATGCAGGAATGTAAACAGTTCAACTTTAACAAGTCCCTTATGATTTCTCTTTCCTGTTTACCTTTTCATGTTTCTCTTGAGGCTTGTATTTTAAAGTCAATTTTTCTATTTAGCTCTGGTCTTTTCTCAAGAATGCATTAAATTCCTCTGTCATTGAATATAACTTTTCCCTCATTGATTATACTCAGTTTTGTTGGGTAGCTGATTCTTGATTTAAATCCTAGCTCCTTTGATGTCCAGAATATCATATTCCAAGCCCTCTGGTCCCTTAATGTAGAAATTGCTAAATCTTGTGTTATTCTGATTATGGTTCCACAATACTTGAATTGTTTCTTTCTGGCTGCTTGCAATATTTTCTCCTTGACCTCAGAACTCTGGAATTTGACTATAATATTCCTGGGAGTTTTCCTTTTGGGATCTCTTTCAGGAGGTGAACAGTGGACTCTTTCAATTTCTATTTCACCCTTTAGTTCTAGAATATCAGGGCAGTTTTCCTTGATAATTTCTTGAAAAATGATGTCTAGGCTCTTTTTCTTGATCCTGACTTTCAGGTAGTTCACTATTTTTAAATTATCTCTCCTGGATCTATTTTCCAGGTCAGTTGTTTTTCCAATGAGCTATTTCACATTGTCTTCTTTTTTTTTCATTCTTTTGGTTTTGTTTTATAATTTCTTGATTTCTCATAGTCATTGACTTCCATTTGCTCCATTATAATTTTTTAAGGAATTACTTTCTATTTAAAAATACATAATAAGAAAAGAAAAAGAAACATTATAAACTTAAAGGTGAATATAAGAGAGTTATGGCAATTTACTGATTACTTCTCCTTCTTGACTACCAGACTCTACCATTTATTTAGATTGATTTTTTTAATATTACCTTAATTTCAATCCTTTTTCCCCAACAATTGCTACTTAGAGATCTATTGCCACCTCATCCTAGCAGAGAAGGTGGAACAAGCATTGCTTTCTTGCTCAATCACTGGCTTCAGTACTGGACTTTATTGTTTTCCTTCCTATTCTTGTCATTGGGTGTGGTTCAAAAATAACAATAACGAACCTACACAGAAAATTTTGGTGCTATTTGTGGCCCAGTTCCGGTCATAGACAAGGCCATCTCCAGTTACCCTGATCTATGTCTTGCCATTGGACCCAGATGGCTCTGGAGGAGAGAGTGAGACTGGCGACTTTGGACAGCCTTGCCTCACTTAAATCCAATTCAGTTGCAAGTCAAGATAACAGTCTGTGAGTAGCAGTAACTGCCCTACTGGCCAGTTTCAGT